TTTTTTTTTTTTTTTTTGCACTGAATTTCAGCATCTCCAGGAGTTCATCATTCTCCAGGAGTTCCCAACCAGCCAATTGATTGGTGGTGATTTGCCCAGGCTCCCTCTGGTCTTATTTTATAATAGCAATTGAATATTTTCAAGCATTGATTGGTGTTTGGAAAGTCCCTCGAAGCTGTTGAGACAGAGGGTGGCTGTGCCCAGCTGAGAGGGGCCACCCTGGGGTGCTGCGTGCCCACAAAGGGCCTTTGCTCCTCCTCAGCACCTTCCTGCTGCTGGGCAAAAGGCTGAAACGGTGTGAAAAGTGCAAACCTGGAGGTGTGGGGGACGTGTAGGGCGAGGGTGACGCCCCACGGCTCGTCCCTCAACCTGCTGCGGTCCCGCAGGTCCCGCAGCGTGGTCCAGATCAACGCCAGCATCCGCTTCGAGCCCTCCAAGATCAACATCTTCACCAAGGACTGCAAGAGGAATGGGAAGGATGCCACCTGCATGTCGGCCTCCGTCTGCTTCACCGCCCTCTTCCTCTCCGCCCACTTCCAGACGGCCAGCGTGGGTAAGGGCACGGCTGTCCCGGGGCACCATCCCTGTCCACGCCTCGGGAAGGTCTCCAGCCCCAAGGCTGCCCAGGGTGGGGGTGGTGGAGTCACCGTCCCTGGAGGTGTTTCAGGAGGGTCTGGACGTGACTCTCGGTGCCATGATCTGCGTGACAAGGTCTTGGGTCAGAGGTTGGGCTCGAGGATCTCAGAGGTCTTTTCCCACCCAGGTGATCCTGTGAGTCTGTGACTCAAGACACTGGTGTGTGTGGAGCAGAGCACCTTCCACACAAGTTCCACAGACTATTCTGGGTTGGGAGGGACCCAAAAGGATCACCAAGTCCAACGCTTAATTGAGTGGGATCAAACCCCTGGCCGTGGTGGGAATAATGCCAAGGTCAATTATTACCAGCCACGACCAACTGAGCTTATCTGAGGGTCCTCCAGGAGCGTTTGGCACCACCTGCCTCATCCCTTTCCACCCACTAATTTGTCCCTATCCAGGCTGAGGCAGCAGGGATGGTGGCTCTGCCAAGGAACACCCCAAGGATAAACCATCCCTGTGTTTAACCCCCTCTCTCCCCTATTCCCCTGAGCTTTGCTGTGCCGTGGGACGTGTGACAGGGGTGTCACCACAGGCAGGGCAGGAGGGGCCGTGCCCGGCCCACGTCCCACAGAGCCCATCCCTCCTCCCCCTGCAGCAG